TATGTGTGGCTTGCGTAGACAAGTTGCATATCGCACCTAAACCCGCTTTCGGTCGTCTTGATATTAGTTCTGACCTATGAGATTTGTAGTTAAAGAAGGTGGTGTAGCAGGCGCTGCGTAGTCTGCTATCCCAGTAAATTAGTTTCTGACCCCACCGCGATGTGGGGCACAGGACAGCCAAAGAGACTATGTCACTTGTCCATGTCGGCAGCAAATTGTCATGTGCGAAAGTCGACAGGCCATTTAGCCATTTATATCGCCCTTTGTCTGCCAACCTTTGTGAGACCTCTGCTGACAAAAATGCCTTAATTTAAATACTGCATAAATGTCAATCACAGATCCTAACTGATTACTGGTCTACTTTGCAGGATAATCTTCTGGGGTACAGTAAGTGAGCTAACTCATGAAATGTCAACCGAAATTTCAAAATGCGTTCTCGTTTCGAAAATACTGATTAAGTAGGGTTGTAAAAATAATCATCATGCAGCATAATTATATAATGATCCACGTACATCAAGGGTCGGCTATCAAATGAACGTATTTTTAACTGCAGGCAAGAACTACACTCTGCAAAAAATAACTACTTGAATAGCATGCAATTTTCCCCTTGATTTTAGATGCCCCCGAAAATTCAATTATATTTCATGAAAAACATGCATAAGAATATTCATTCCTTTAACCATTCGGTGGACAATGACGTCTTCTTCCAATTTTGTACTCGAAAGAAGAGTAGTATTCGGTATTAAAAAACTTTCCTAATTCCTGAATAATTTTAAACCCTACCTGTTGTTATACTAACATTCAGGGTTTCCAACCTACAAGCCGTATATGTTCCGTGTACAAAAACTATACACGTCTCTGCGGTAATAATAGGAGACCATATGGCGTTCATAAAATTTAGCAGTGGACTTGAGCAATATTGTTAACTTTACAAGCCAGTCTTTACGCCGCGCTAGGCTGGTCGACTGGGACAGCGGACTTACGCATGGGGCAGAAAAGTCAGCGCAAAGACGGCTCTGGAAATCCACCCACAAGGCGCCTCAGCGCATGCCTCAAAGCCAAAAATGCGATGTACTTTAAGATTTCACGACGGACTCAAAATCTTGGTATGGAATGCCTAGAGCTGGCGTGGTAACTCGGTCCTCTCAAGACGGAGAGTTAGGCTGCAATGACCCACTTATTGTGGCCTCCTTGACACCTCCACGCAGCTGATCTCTGGGTCGCCTCACAGGGGGCATTGGCGGGCCACGGTTAGGAGAGCTGTGTGCATGATTCCTCAATCTCTGAAGACGGATAGACGAAGTAACTAATGGAAACGACAGATCTCTAATAAACCTCTCCCAGTTAATGCCTCGTCTTCTTTTGCCACTAAATTTGTCCATGCAAGCAACTGAGTAAATAAAACAACGCAAGTAGACCAGCGTTCGGAAGTAGTTCTCTAATACTCTTTTCACTTAAATATGCCTGTTAGCCAACAGCTTGCAGCTCGAGCATAGATTCCAAAACGATTTCGCGACAGGTTGCTGTGGCTTTTTCCCCTTCTGCATTTCGTCTGATTTCATTGATTGGG